ACCTTCCTGTCCTATAGCATTTGTCTTCTAGAGGGAATTATTATTATTATTATTATTATTATTATTATTATTATTATTTATTCATGAGACACACACACAGAAAGAGAGAGAGAAAGAGAGAGAGGCAGAGACACAGGCAGAGGAAGGAGCCCAACACAGGACTCGATCCCAGGTTTCCAGGATCACGTCCTGGGCCAAAGGCAGGCACTAAACCACTGAACCACCCAGGGATCCCCAGGAATTATTATTTAATCATCTCTCCCCAACTATAAGATTTTTGAGGGTAAGGATTGGGTCTCTCTTATTCAATTCTTTATTTACAATGCAAAGCACAATGCCTGGAACATATTAGGTTCTTAAGAAATACTTTGTGAATTAAAGGTTAAAATCCCCAACTAATCACAGACCTTTTATCATCCAGCTATGTAAAGCTTAATTGCTTTCTAGTTCCAACATTCTGATCTCTCCATGAGTGAAACCAGACTGAAGGAATCTGATATGTTATGATTGGTCTGCTTGCTTAAGCCAATGACTATCTCTTGCTCATGACATAATCTCAATCAACCATGGTGAATTAGAGCCACTAAAATTATTGGTTACATCTTATATTTAAAATACCTATATTGTCCAATTTCTCTACAGATCAATTAATTTCTTTTTTTTTAATTTTTATTTATTTATGATTGTCACAGAGAGAGAGAGAGGGGCAGAGACACAGGCAGAGGGAGAAGCAGGCTCCATGCACCGGGAGCCAGATGTGAGATTCGATCCCGGGTCTCCAGGATCGTGCCCTGGGCCAAAGGCAGGCGCCAAACCGCTGCACCACCCAGGGATCCCAATTAATTTCTTTAATATAAAATATTTAAGACTCTTTCATTGAAAAGAACTATAAAGATATATACATATGGGCCCATTTTGCCATGTCAACAGAGCTGAAGAATTATATGTTATCTCACTGTATTCTAGAGTCCTTTCAGAGAGACAGATATTACTTTTGAACTAAAGCTTAATGCCTAAGATTTAGTTCTTGGCACAAAAGAAGTGCCATAGTAAATTTTTTATATGGAGGCTCTTACTTTTGCAAATATGTTTGGTACTCTGCAAAAGCAATTTAAGTAAGCTGTAGAGAGAGAAACATATTGCAGCTTTTAATAAATACCTCCCACACCCTCATGAAAGAAGAAGAGCAGTGGTGAGTGAGCTGTGAACTTTCTCTCATGCAGAATTTATCTTGAGAAAAGTTGTATAATAGCAGACATAGTAATACCTGTTTTTTTCTTAATCTTCTCTGTAAGAGAGTGTTATATGCCTTAATGGGACAGTAGAAAATAAATTACACTACTATAGCAAGGATAAATGCTAACATTCAAAATTTGTGCTGTGACTCTACACAACAAATGACTCACTCCCCCTCCCCCCAAATTTTGAAATCTACATTTAAAAATCATTTTTATTTGCAAAGGTTAACAAAATTTCTTTTTTTCATTTCTCACTATGTCCACAGAGAACTGGTGACTTTACTTGGAGCTAATTCCAAATTCTCATAAATATTTAGTCATAAGGTCTTCCTTTCACTGCAACTGCCATGGAATCAAGCTTTTGCCCCACCCTTCTGCACATAGTTGGGCTTCTATAAAAATCGACTTGCCACACTTTTCCTCCGCAGTGTAAAAGACACCATGCAATAGATGTGTTCTTAATTAAAGAGTGAAAATTTATTTTTATATACTTTGTCTTAGAAAGTTTATGGGCAATCTGAAGTTCTTTTATTGGATCTTCAGATCTAGCTGATGACATCAATCAAGGTAAACAACCAAAGCAAATAATTTTGTGATTTTCATAGTCTGGAACTTTTCATTTTGCTTTAAATATTAGTATACATTATTCAGAATAAAATCTTATAATCCACTCCATCAAACTTGATATGTGATGCTATTTAATAGAAACACCAAAAATTTTATGAAACCACTAATAATATGGCTTATTCGATGATTCATAATTACATCACTTTCAGAATATGCTTCTTTGAAGGCATGCATAGGTTCCAATTTTGAGTTACCTATTTGTAGTTAGTAAATTTGTTAGATTCTGGCTTCTTATTCTTCAGGTCCAAACTCATTTCTGCTCTCCTTCATGATAGCTGGAATCCAAAAAGGCTTGGGTCCTGGGGCAGGGGTAGGAGGATATGCAAAGATCCAGTGTCTGCAGCAGCCAGGAATGAACAGAAAGTACCAGCAGAAGTGAGGATGTCCAGGATCAGACCAAAAAACTAAATGTAATCTTGTTGTGAGGGTAAAAGGAGATCTTTATTAGTTTTCTAGTACTGCCATAACAAGTACCACAGAGTGATTGACTGAAAATAGGAATTTATTTTCTCACAGTTCTAGAGGCTAGAAGTCCAAGAATAAGATATCTGTAGGGTTGGCTCCTTCTGAAGATTAAGAAGAATCTACTCCAGGTTTCTCTCCTTGGGTTGTAGAAGATTGCCTTCACCCATATATCTTCAAGTTGTCTTTCATCTATGTGTGTCTTAGTCCAAATTTCCTCTTCTTGTAAAGATACCAGTCAAATTGGATTAGGGCCCACACCAATGACCTCATTTGAACTTGACTGCTTGTGTGAAGACCCTATCTCTAAATAAGGTCACATTTTGACCATTAACATTAGGACTTAAACATATGATTTTGGGGGGGATACAATTTGACCTGTAACAATGTCCCAAAACAAGGGAAAAAAGCAAGAGTTGAAAGCTGTAAAAAAATATGTAATTCAGAGGTGAAATAAGGCAGGTTCCAGGTGACTGACACCAATGGAGATAAAATATCCATCACTGCCTTTAGTGATCTTTTTCTAGAAGGTCATGGTGCACACTATATGCACCTAGAAGTGGTAAAGCTGACTACCTTAAAGGTTCAGGGTCTAATGTCTTCCTCCTGAGGGCCCCTTTAATATCTTTTCCCAGAGCTAGGTAAGGTACTTAAAAATTTCCCCTAGAGAAGTAGAAAAAGAGAATTTAAATTTAATTTCACAAATATGTGTGGAGCAGCTTCTGTATACAAGGCCATGTAAGGCCATGGTAATGGGACTCTACTCTCAAGTTGTAGCGAAAACCACCAGTGTCAAAAAAAAAAAAAAAAAGAAAAGAAAAGAAAACCACCAGTGTCCTTAAAAAATGGCACTCAGCTCATCCTAGGTTAGCAGTGGAAGGAGATTCATTTACTGGGACAAAATTCATTTATTGAGACAAAATTCTAATTCCTCCAAGATACACATGTTTTGGTGATCTCTCACTATTTACCACTGCCAACCATCCTAGTTTGGCAATCCTAGAAAACTGGGCTATATAATATCACAATACATCTCTTAATTATATTTCATTGCACCCAAGTATTTAGTGAAGTATTATTTTAAAATGATAAAAGGGTATCACTTAATGCCAGATTATTAAAATAGTACAGTGGCCCCTGAGGCCAAGAAGGTAGCTCTAATAATTAGCAAAGGACCATCAGGGGTTCAGCAAAAGCCTTCTGTCTCCATTTCTAATTTGAATGATGTGATCTGGGAGCTTTCCTTACATAGTTCTAGCAGTTATGTTGAGGGAGTCAGTTCTGAAGTTTACATCATTCAGACTGAAGAATCAAATGATTGTGACACTTCTGAGCTACTTCTGAAATCTTCTGCTTTTTACATGTATTAATTAGCATATTTTCCCTACTATAACTTACATTAAAAATAATCTAATTTCTACATTTTCAAAATTATGCAACTAGTATTTTAAATGTGAAGTTTAAGTGTAGCTATGGAATGCTGGCTAATTTGCAGATTTATCTGGTTTGGATGGTTATATAAAAAAAGTATTAAATCTTGTTACACTACAAGAACTTTTTATAGAATTTTTCATACTTATCAATACTAATTTTGTGAGAGCCAATGCTTTGATTCCATGTATAATAACCTTATTTAAACTTACTATTCACAATCATAAGAAGAGAGATTTATGAAAACTAGAGCTAATGCCAAAGGTAAAAAGAAAAATTAGAGCAGAAATAAGAAAGAAAAGGTAGCCTGTCAAAATACTGGAATCAATAGTGCCTACTGCTGCACTTCTAGTAACTTCATTTATTTATGCTTATTCAGTTCACCCACAACTGGGGTCATTGTGCCATGAATTTAATTTATATTAGCTCATTCATTCTCACCACAACCTTATGAAATTATATATTATTAGCCCAGTTTACAAAAGAAAAATTAGGAAGTTTGATTAACTTGCCCAAGGAAATAGGGGAAGAGATGACTTCATCGTTTTGACTCCTAACCAAGGCTCCTAGTCAGTCAAGTTCATGACAAAATCTTTTCCAAACTCATGGGGAAAAAAAACAAGAACCACCAGAGTTACAACCAAGTATATAAATAAATAATATATGAGTAACATATGAGAGGACACTGTATATCATGAAAAGTGTATCAAATCATTACTGCAGCTCAAAATTCAAGAATCTGTTTGTCCCATTTATCTTCCACATTGTGACTTGTTTATTCAAATTTTGGGTTTCATGTTTCTGTGATCTACAAAGCTGGAATGAAGTCTCTAATTAAATATCCAAGAATTGATTTCAGATGGGCAGGTGGCTTAGCCTCAAATCTTGACTCTTTTACAAATTAGTTAATTGACCTTGGAAAATTCACTTAGCTTTCCTGAGTCCCAGATGCTGTCCTGCAGGATTTTGTGAGATCTGAATGAGATAATCCATGTGAAAATACATAATACTTTGTGACACAAAGTTAGTAATCATTAAATTTTAATTGAATGGGACTATAAATCGGTTTTCAGACGAGGTTTCTTAAAATTTCCAAATATTAGTTCTATATTTCTCTCTCACACATAATCCATGCTCTTATATTTGAGCTGTATAGATCAAATAGATCAATGTCAGATTTCCAATGTCCCATATAATACATATATATGTATACATATTAATTATATATTTTTTATTCCATAGAGACCAAGACCTGAAAAATGTAATTGAAATAAATTCTAATGTGCCTAAAAATAAAAATGAAAGGTAAGACTTATTATAATTTATTATTTTGTTCTCAATCCCATCTAAGCCTACCTAAATTATATAATCTTAGAAGATTTACTAAGAAGTTGAATTGTATTATGGTATTTAGATATAAATACTATTGAAATACAAAAATCAATATATGGGGTACTTAAGAGTTGAGCAAAGTTAACAAAAATGGAAAAAATTAACAAAATTCAAATTCTGTTGGATTTCTGACTGAGGACCTTCTATTCAATAGCTTTGTGTGAAAGGCATCATGGAAATTTAAAGCTGTGCACTCGGGCTGTGAAGATTTATTTTTACTTATTGTTGCTTAGTAGTTTTTCAGTGGTGCAGAAAGCACTCTGGGAATCTCTTCCTTGGATACCTAGTACTAAAAGAATGCACAAATTCATCACAACTACAAAACAGGACGTACTTTTGAAATTTCTTTTCCCCATGGAGTATAACAGCATTAAAATTGTTGTACTTTCTTTTACAAGGAAAGTTGGGACAGTTATATACTTCATTGTTGTTACAGACTTTTAAGAAAGAATTAAACATTTTTTCCCTGTTTTGCAATCTCCCTCTACTATGGGGGACCCAAAAACAATAGGTTTCTTTTTTTTTTACCTTCATAAGGTGCAGTTGTCTTTTCTATTAAAAATTTTGTTACGCAAAGAAATGATATTGTCAATATTATGTGTGGACAATGGAAAAGCAGGCAGAGAGCTGGATCACTTTTTCCCCATAATGTCTACAAAAGACTCTTACATCTAATGGGTAGTTTCTTTCTGCTCCCTCAATTCCCTAACTTGTCTTCTGCCTTCTCTTCTTGTGATCACATGAAAGCCTTTGATAAAATGAAGGAGGGAAAATTTTCAATAGGATCCATTTATCTTTGAAAAACATACACTATTTTGGGAATAGGACTGGGCTTACAGTTAACCAGTCTTACTGAAGTATTATCTGGATGTGATCAAGGTAAAAAAATTACAAGTAAATGATTATTACATATGGTTAAGGAACTTCTCATTTAACATGATGTGACAGATGCTCCAATTTCAGTGTGGCTTTTATTGGAAAGATAATGAAGAAATGGAATTTTATCGAAATTCAGGAACAGGAATGGCAGCATAGCTGGAAGGCTGCTCCCTCTTGGCCAGACAACATTCCATCAGGAATCCCTGGATACCGTTAACCCTAGTTCTTTTTCATTATTGTAACTCAGCTACTCCCTGAGTATTGGCTTCACCCTATTTTTCTCCCACTCTTCCTTCTGCCTGTTGGCTTCTTTATTTTCTATATCTGTTTTATAACCGAGATTCTTTGCTGCCTTCCAGTTTCTGGCTCTTCATACCTTGAGTTTACTCTAACTCCCCATGATCTTTCTGGCTTCCCAATGCTAAGCAGTGTGGGTGTGGCCATCTGCATTGAAAAATAGTGTGTAAATGGAAAACACCATGGGTGACGATAAAGTGCACACAGTCCCCTTTCCCTTTCTGCAAATTCATCTGTGTCTCCTGCCTGAGATAATCCAACTATGACATAAACTTTCATGGATGCACCCACTCTCCCCCCTGGGAGACAGGAATCATCCCATTTGGTTACTACATCTAGAGGCCTTAATCACCACCACTACAAGACCATTTATTGATCATTCTCCTTCAGTCTTATCACAGTCCTGCCTATGTATGAGAAATCATAGGTTCTGCCATTGAAACATTAAATGGAAAATGTAACCACCACCCTGGCACTGACACAACAACTGTAATAAAAATTTTCACCTGGAAAAGAGTAGAAAAAAGAAGTCTCTGGACCCAACTTTGTGCCCATGTACTATGGCTGCAAAAAGGACTGTCAAAATGGGTGACTGGGTAAATATTTAACAGAAAGAAAATTGATAAAACTCACAGAAAGTAAGAGACTGGACTGAGTGTGGAAGGTTAGTAAATCAGAGATGAATGAACCCAAGTGTTCTGGCAGCAAGTCCTCTTTTATTTTTTTACAGTAGCATACTTCTTTTTAAAATTTTATTTATTTATTCATTAGAGACACACACAGAGAGAGGCAAAAACATAGGCAGAGAGAGAAGCAGGCTCTGTGCAGGGAGCCCGATATGGGACTCGATTCCGGGACTCCAGGATCACGCTCTGAGCGGAAGGCAGACGCTTAACCACTGAGCCACCCAGGCGTCCCATACAGTAGAGTACTTTTTAAAAAATATATTTAAAATTTGAAATTTCTTACAAGAGTTCAAGACATTTTATAGAGGTAAACACTAACACATATAACACAAAATAGTGGGCTCTTAATATGATTTTATTCTTAATGCAAAAGAGATTCATAAAGTTTGCAATGGTATCGATGTTTATCAGCTGAAACTGTTTTATGGTGTTAAATGTCAGATTGTTCAGGGTAAATCAGTAAGACAACGGAAATCTAAATAAGTGTCCTGGGCCAATCTACTAAACTGAGACTTGATTCATTTTATGAATGCATTCCCTTAGTATAGTAATAGAATGTCCAAATAAATATATGTTTCTGATCAGTATATTCATGGAATTGTGCAACCATCACCACAACCCATTTTAGAATATATTTATCACCTCAGAAAGAAACCCCATTCCATTAGCGGTCACACATTTTCTTCCCAACCCCTCAGCCCTAGGCGACTGCTAATCTACTTTTCTGTCTCTGTGAATTGCCTATTCTGAACATTTCATAGAAATGGAATCATGCACTATGTGGTCCTTTATGAGTGGTTTCTTTCAATTTGCATAATATTTTCATGATTCATCTGTATTACAGTGTGTATCAGTATTTTATTTCTTTTTATTCCCAAATGGTATTTATTCTGTTGTATGGCTAAACAGCATTTTGTTTATTCATCAATTGATGGGTATTTGAACTGTTTTTGACTTTTGGATTGTATTTAACTATTAGGAAAGATGCTGTATATATAAGATTTTGTGTGGGATATATTTTCATTTCTCTTGGGTATACACCTAGGACTGGAAATGCTGGATTGTGTAGTAACTCTATGTTTAACCATCCAAGGAATCACCAGACTGTTTTTAGAGCAGCTGTACCATTTCATACTCTCACTGGTGATGTATGATGGTTCCAGATAGGTAAATTTTCAAGGTGAATTTCCACTGCAGGAAATATTTCCTCAAGAGTAATTTCATTAGAAATTTTATAAGATCCTACACAGTGAGTTTATATTTTGTAGAGTTGTTATTTAGTAAGAAACAAAGCTATGACCATTAATTGGAAGTTATAATTCAACAATTTGTTTCGATGAAGAATAACTTCCTTTTTTATTGTGTTGTTTTTTTGTTATTATTGTTTTTTCAAAGATTTTATTTATTTATTAATGAGAGATATACAAAGAGAGACAGAGACACAGGCAGAGGGAGAAGCAGGCTTCCTGTGGGGAGCCTGATGAAGGACTTGATGCCAGGACCCCGGGATCACAACCCAAGCTAAAGGCAGACGCTCAACCACTGAGCGACCCAGGTGCCCCTGAAGAGTAACTTCTTAACCATAAAACCGTTAAACAACAAACATTGTGAATCATGAGTTATCCTTTATAAGGATTACTCAAGGTATATGAGAGGAATACTTGGGCAGAGTTTCCTTGATTGCACCAGTTCCTAAACTTTAGTGTATGTTACAACCACCTGCTGACCCAGGGATCACACTCTGAGAACCAGTGCTCTCTTGGGTAAAAAGTTGGGCTGCCCAACCTCTAAGGTGATGGTTTGTAACCTTAATTTGCTATGAGACTTACCGGAGAGGCTTAAAGGAATCCCAGTGCCCAAGCTATAATTCAAGCTAATTAAACCAGAATATCTGGATATGGGACCCAGTAGCATTATAAAAAACACTGCCGGTTATTTCACTGGTGGCCAAAGTATTTTCTAACTATTTCTATGGTTCTAAATAATAAAAAAAATCTTTACCACTTATTGGCATCAAGATAGAATTTCCTGTGTAACATCTATCACCATCTCATGAAGAGCAAAGAAAGACTTAGTAAACTATCACAGACCCTAGGAGACTAAAAAGCCATGATGATTATGTGGAAGATATGTACTGGTTCGGATTCTGGAATGGAGAAAGGACATCAGTGGAAAAACTGATAAAATACAAATGAAGTCTGTAGTTTAGTTAATAGTACTGTACCAATGTTGATTCTTTAGTTTTGAAAAACATACCACGGTTATGTAAGATATTAGTATTAGGAGAAGCTGGGTGAAGGGTAGACACAAATTTTCCTCACTCTTTGCAATTTTTCCATACATTTAAAACTACTCTGAAATAGAAGTTCTATTTTTTTTTAATTTCTCATCTTCCAAACCTCCTGGATGGAGCAAAATCCATCTAATAGTTTATTGCTCCATATTTCAAATTTGTTTAGTAGTATTTGGTTTTTATTCACAGTTATAAAAATTAAATCTTCATGAAGGCGAAGTCATTAATCTCATTATAAACACAACTAGGAATGCTACTTGTATTATTACTCTGTCTGTGTTGCCATAATAAAATACCACAGACCAGGGGGCTTAAACAAAAGAAATTTATTTTCTCACAACTCTGGAAGCTAGAAGTCCAGATCAAAGTGTTGTCAGTCTTGGCTTCTCCCAAGGCCTTTCTCCTTAGTTTGCAGATGGCCACTTTCTCACTGTGGCCTTGAATGGCCTCTCCTCTCTATGTGCACAAACACACACAGATCTTTCATGTCACTTCCCCTTCTTTAAAGAACACAAGTCCTATGGCCCTACCCATGACCTCACTTAACCTTTTTTACCTTCTTATAGGCTCTGTCTCCAAATCACATTGAGAGTTAGGGTTTCAACATATGAATTTTGTTTGGAGAGAGACAATTCAGTCCTTGACAGTCCTGTTTGTGGGGCACCTGGGTGGCTCAGTGGGTTAAGCATCTGCCTGCAGCTCAAGTCATGATTCTGGCGTCCCGGGATCAAGCCCCATGTCTGGCTCCCCACTCAGTGGGGAGTCTGCTTCTCCCTCTGCCTTTACTCCTGCTCATACTTTCTCTCTCTCTCTCTCTCTCTCTCTCTCTCTCAAATAAATAAATAAAATCTTTTTAGAAAAACAGTACTGTTTGCAATTTCCTTTTCCTATTTGAAGACTTTGCTAACTGGTGATATTTGATTTTTATACTGCTGAGGATGGTGCAAACACATTTCAAACTCACAACTTTTGTTCTTTGAAGCTGTTTATTTCTTAAAATTGGGTTTTGTATTATATATTATATGATTTGAGTATTTTCCAAACAATTTCTAGTTATTTTTTTTTATTCCTGGAATGACATATTCTAATAATCAGGTTAGAAAATCTTCTGACGTTAATTCTACTTCCTTGCTACTTAGTATCATTTTAATATAGCTGTATGTTTTATGAAACATCTGTCTTAAAACTAAAAGATGATTTTTTGGTATGCCAGAGATAATATGTGAACAAATATTTTCCTCCTCTTTAAGAGCTATTGAAATGGAAGGAACAGTGTGTTTAGAAATGATAAGGCTTGATTAAGATCTAAACTGTCCTCTTGGTTTTCACATTTCTTCTATATCAGAGTTTACTAACGTGGAGGGAGAAAAGTGGCTATAATTTTTACTATTCCTTCATTAAAGTTTTCCTCTGTTCCAGAGGAAAAAGAAAATATGCCTATACTTTGTTAAGTGTAGTGGTATTTTTTAATTAGCAGAAATCTAGGTCAGGGTTCTGTAATCTTCAAAATATTGCTTTCCATTAAAAATAACATGGAAACTGGAATTTCTAAAAGCAATCCCTGGATAATTTTCATCAAATTGATAAACTCTCAAGATAAACTGTGCATGAGAAGCTTTCTGCAGTGGCGCTGCTGGTATGACAGCATTACCAGAACCAATTTCAGATGGTTTTTGCCTTCAGTGAAAATGTATTATATCCTACTGTTAGATAATATGACACATGCCTGTAGATTATTCTTAAAGGTGAAACAGTGGTTGCTGTGGAGGAGTAAAATGGTACATGTATTCTATTTGAGTATCTGCACAGAAACCAGACCAATATAAAGAGGTTTACTATATGTTAAAATGTTAATTGAACAAAATTTTCACAAAACAATAAACTTCTAAATGACCTTAGAAATGCCAGATATTTGTGTTTGCTTTCCCAGGGTAGATGGCCAAGTCGTTGGATCCACTGATGCTTTAAATAACCAGCTTACTAGAACTCCTGCCCATTCTTATGAAGCCAGGAAGAATCTCAGGTGCTGTAGCCAATTGTAAACCAAATGACAGGACTCTTCTCCTTCTGTTTTTAAAAATCATCTTATATATGATCTGATCCCTTGTTTGAAATGCATACATTTATCATTTTATCAGTGGCTATATGAAACAGCCTCACACAAAGGCATTAAGTTAGCAACTTAGTCATTGGTAAGTTTTGATATCTGGATAGTAAAGTGTAAGTGTGATTTTTCTCTGAAAATTCTACATTTTTTAAAAAGCCTGTTTGTGACATTTATGTTGATATTCTTTAAGTAGATTTAAAGTTTCATTAAATTAGATGTTATTTTATTAACTCATTAAGGTAAACTTTTTGAGGTTTGCAGGGAATATTATGGTTTGAAAATACAAATGAGATGCCTGGGAAACAAACAGTAAAATGTATTATACAAATATTCCCAATAATCGATATGCTCTATGACAGATTTTCTGAGTGACAAATTTTCATAGCAGTATTCTGGAAGTAGACCAAGACAGTGGAAGCTAAGAACAAAATAGGAGTTATTAAGAAGTTTTGCAGAAGTGGATTAATACCCTTTTAACAATTACATTTCAAAAGTTACAATTTTTTTTAAAAAATATAAGCACTATTTTTTACATTAAATTAGATAATAGCCTTATTGTTTTCATTATTCTTGTAAATAAACTTTAAACCTTGAGTAAATGGTTTGTATTGCAGCTTCAATGCTGAAACCAGGCATGCAGGACCAAAGGATACCTTTGTGTATACAAGGACATATGTGGAGAACAGGTACTGGGCATTTATTTAAAATATTTTGCTACATTTATTCTAATTTTGAAAAAATCTGTATGTAAGAAGAGATCCTATTATTTTGGAGTAAGCATGCTTTTTTCAAATAGAAGACCACTTAGGAGGGATGCCTGGGTAGCTCAGTGGTTGAGTGTCTGTCTTCGGCTCAGGTTATGATCCTGGCGTCCTGGGATGGAGTACCCCAGTTGGCTCCCCATGGGGAGCCTGCTTCTCTCTCTGCCCATGTCTCTGCCTCTCTCTCTGTCTCTCATGAATAAATAAATAAAATATTTTTAAAAAAGAAATTATAAAAAAGAAGACCACTTAGGAATATATTGAGTTCTAGGTATATAATTCTTTATAATGTTTCCAATATTAAGTAGCTGGCAAATAGTCATAAATAGTCGTTGGATGAACCAAATACTTGAATATAACAAGTGTATGCATAGTGGGATAACCATTTGTAAGTTCTCACATTATCATATGTAACTATATGTTTATAGCAAGCTTTATAAAATCACACAATGCAAAATTGTTGGTAAATTGAACACCAATTAAAAATAAATCTATTAAAAAATATTCCTATGCTAATTTCAAGTCCCACTTTAATTAAATAGTTCTATATACTACTCTGGTTCTATCTACTATTGCTTGCCTCTAATCTGAAATAAGGGATATTAGCTTTAGTAGATACACTCTGGCCCAAATTACAGAGAATTAATATGCCCCAATATCTACTGCTTGGAGTGATGGATGTTGAGGAAAATGTCAATCAAGGTCATTAATTCACACCCCATTCAATTTCAGGGAGTACAAAAACAAAAATTAGCCTGTGAGGTAATATATTGAAGGGTATTCCAAATGTGATCAATGTGATGTATGTGTTAACCAGAACTCATTTCAAAGAAAGGAGAGCATTTCTAGAGAGGGGTCCCTGAAAGGACTCTAGGAGCTTCATTGTATGTCAGAAGGTGGACAATTTTCCAGAAGACGTTTCTCAAAACCACACATAATTTTCCTCGTAAAACACAGCTTCAAGTTTGATTTTTCTGCTGAATCTAATTCTCCCTAAACTGTACACTGATGTTGCAGTATAGTGTAAGAGGTCCTAGCATCAGATTCAGGATTGAATCTGTGTCATTTGCTAACCATGTGATCTTGGCAAAAGCTACTTAATTTCTACAAATCTCAGTTTCCTCATCAATAAATTGGGAGTAATAATACACGTATCATGTACAAATATGTGCAAACTCTTGCTTATCATTTTGGTTTGTATGTTCCAAATAGATTCTATTTCTGGCAACAGTCTGCCTGTTGGCAGTTTGGAGGGAGAGAAAGGTTTCTTATTTAAATATTTTAGGTGAAGGTTGTAGGATTACCACTAACTGTATGAAATAATAGGAATGTGTTGCTTCCAGCCCTAATATACTCCCAGACAGCATAAGTACTTGGGAAGCAATTATGAGTTGCCAGCTGGTTAGTGCATTGCAGATTTCACTCCTCTTGGGGGGAAAGACTGATATTTACAAACTGGGGCAGTCTGAACAATGAAGCAAATAGGACTTAAAAGTACTCTCTTTTTCTTTCATTCTAGACTATTCTTTCTTGGATGTGTTCAAGTAAAAATAAGCATTTCTATAGTTTTCTCTAAAAGCTCAAGAATCCCTGCTTTTCTACCTGAATGGTGATACTTACAGGCGCTTACACTGGCTCATGCTTAGTGTATTTCCTTTTCTCTTTAGATTACATGTGGCTTTCTTTTAGTAAATGATTGAGGAAGAGAAGAGTATAAATTTCACAAGAAATGATGGTTCATGTGTGTTCCTGTGCTCCTTGCCCTATTCTCTATTTACTTCAGGAGATATGTCAACTTCGGTCATCTTGGAGATGGCTTATGTATTAGCTCTTCTCCATCCTAAAAAAAAAGAAAAGGATGTTAATACATGGTCCTGGTTTGTAACATCACAGAAAAAAAATAATAAGACTGCATGAGGAGGTGTGTGTGTGCTTCGTCACATGCATGTGAGTGTGTACAACAAGATGAAAATTGTCCAATTCTTATATGTCCATTTATGTTTGTTTCTAGTAAATCACTGAAGGATGGATATCAGGAGAATATCTCTGGAAAATACATACAAACTGTTTATTCGACTTCAGATAGGTGAGTTTTTCTTTATTTCCACACCTGAAAGTATATATATATATATATATACACACACACACACTTAAACTATATGTATATATATACATATATGTGTAATATATGCACTTTTATATATAATGTATATTTTATATATTTTAGTGTATAAGTATATACATGTATGCATATATACACTTATATATAATATAATTTCTATTCACATTAGATATATCTAATTGTATATATAATATTGAAAGATGTGATTCTTGTCCATTGTACTTAGAGATGGCACTCTTGATGGTGATTGTTACACATGTGTATGAATGGAGCAACATACAACAACCTCTGTATCCAGGAATTCATTCTTTGGCTTCTGGGATGTTGCCGCTCTTTAATTTTGATATACTTGATGTACTTTCCATGCCACTAGAACTTTCCATGCCATACAGCTGCCTACCAGATCAGCCCCTCTGCTGATTCCCAGGAGTCACTATTAATGTCACATTTTTAGTGTCTAGGCTTCACTGCATCATTTGACTGTGCCCTCAACCCTCCCTCCTTGTGGTTTTCCAGAGCCAGCTCACCTTGCAAACAGCTGCATGGATATGCTGCTATGACCCACCCTGGGCCCATACTCAGTTCTCAAGACAGGGGTTACAATGCATATCAAGTTAATTCTGGTAAACTAACACCAGGCTTTTGCTGTTGGTGATCCTTCTTTACCATTTAATGTTCAGTGGGGCACATAGGTGATGCTCATGAGAATACATCCTGCAGATTTCCAATGGACAAAATAAAAGTAATTAGCATTTCAACCCAACCACTGGAAGCCAACTGTAATGCAAATGCACAACATTCTATTGATGGTGTTTCTTTATAGCAGAGGCTGGAAATATGACTTCTTGAGGGTAAGGGCCTATCTTATTTTTAAGCACAGCTTCAGCTTGTAATGCTGTGTTTTACACCTAACAGATACTCAGTAAATGTTTTTGGAAAAAAATAAGCTAATGCTCTATTTGCTAAGAAAAAACATGGATGGGCCAGGCATCAAAATAATATCCTCTTTCTGTGACTTTTATAAGATCTTGTAGTACCAGTAATCCTCTGAGTGTCTTGCCTTTATGTCACACTTCTTTGAGGAATAAAGTCATTTACACAAGCATTAGAACTACAAATACTGCCTAGGTAACTAAAAACAAACTAACAAAAAAGGCAGCTTTTCCCCTCCATAATCCTTTGAAAAAGGTCTTTCATTAACAGTATGGTCTTAATAAGGACAACACCAACATCAAAGCTTTCCCTGGGCTCATATTGTTACTGTTAACTTAAGGAAGGAAAAACATTCTTCACATAAGTATTGCTCTTAATATGAAGAATTTCAATTCTGTTACTAAAGTGGCTCTTGAACTTTTTCTTAGTCATCAGAGCAAAAGTCAATCGTCTGTAGGAGCAGTCTGCCAAGCAACTTTTCTTGTTGATTAATATGTGAAATAAGCTATGTCCCCAGAGGTCTTATCTAAGCATTTCAATCCCATGTAAAGTGGTTCCCACTTTACCAGGATAAAGACTAATTCCTCTGCACAATTATTTATGGGCCTTTAGAATTTGTTCCTGCTGAATATTGACTGATGTTTAATCACTCCAGATACCCTCTTTGGTACATTCTGTTTGCTCTGCTTAGAATTCCTCTACCATGCTCCTCTGCACCTCACTGAGCCCCTCTGTCCTCAAGCTTTCACTCATGTGGCACTTTTTCCAACAAGGCCTTCTTGACTCCACCCCAGGGAATAGTTGCTTCGTTGGCCATGCTCTCCTAATTCTCTCCATGTATCTGTAATAAGCTGTGATCATCAAATCATACACTTGGCTACCCTCATGGCAAGGAGACTGTCTCACTCTTTGTATTCCCAGCTCCTCCCTGAGTGCCTCTGGAATGGAAGTAGAATAGAGAGTGCCTGCTTTGTACTCTTGAGGTGCTCACGGTCTTACATAGAAAATTTAAGTGTGTGGGCACCTATGTATGTATATATACGAATTATCCATAAGAAACCATTAAAAAAATAAAAAAGAGAAACTATTGGACAGGAATATATAAGGAAGGACCTTTAGAGATAATTGAAAGAGGAAACTATTTATTGATCTATATAAGGACTAGAATAACTGAAATTATAAAATCAGACAAGTTTCATCTTCTTAAATCTCCTCTCCTACCTCCTCCTTTCATTCATTTTCCCTCCTCTCTGCTTCTAGTCCTGGCCTTGATCCTAGGATCAAGGCTCTGAGCACGACTAGTTCACTTTCATATGATGAGCCTAGTGGTCTTCATGGGCAGGCCTTGAGGCAGCACAGGAACTCTAGGGCCACATTACCTTTGTTCAAATTCTGCTGCCACTCAACTGGCCGCATGACAGAAGCAAATTTCTTGCCCTTCCATGCCTCAGTTTCTTCTTCTGTGAAATGATGTGAAAATAATAGGACCTGCTTCTCAGACATATTTTGAAAAGTAAATGAATTTATGCAAGCTAAGTGCATGGAAAGCACACTGCCTGTAGGAAGCATATTAGCACTATATAAGTATTGATTATTTTCATTTTACACTTGTGTAGCCTACTGTGGAAATTTCAGGCCTGTCTCCTAACGCCCTGAAACTAGTAAGCTTTGCAAGATGCTATTTAAGGTAGTCCTAGTACCTTCCCAAAGGAAAAGAATCACGGAGCTGTTGGCATTTCATAAGGTGCTGTGTGACCTGAGGTCTTTCGGACTTGCTGATCTTATCTGTGGTTTGTCTGTCATGTTATTATTCCAAAATAGATAATAAAACTCTCTTTTCCTCATCAAATTTGTGGAGAGGTTGTATCTTGTTGGAGAACATAAATTTTGTCATGAAAGCTAGCCCTGTATTCTGAGTCTTAAAATGATACCAAGAGATTTGTTATAGAGGAGCATTTTGGGGACTCTAGACCCTAGAGTCTAGGGTACCACAGACCCATCATTTGTGAATTTACCAAAATGCTTTTGAATGGATTTGTATTTTTGTCTTATTGAATGTTTTGAGAGTTAAAATTTTATACTGATTGACAGTATAATTTGTCTATGATATATGCAAATTAATAATTCAAAACCCTCTTCTAGCTTCAAGGGGTACTCATGACCTAGTTCAATTAGGGAACTATGAGCATCTTTACCCTGACCAGATGCACTCTTCACTGCTAATGAATTAATAATCTGAGACTTTCCTTCATATTAATTCTTTGATAGTATTCTGAGGTAACTAAAAGAATCAATTCTATCACTAGAATAAGTAAGTCCCAAACTTTTCATGATTTTCACACAATTTCCTAGAGTATCAACAAAATTAACATATCATTTCCACATGACTTTATGGGGAATACATCTGTCTCTTGCATGATGACAAATTTATTTGTAATTGCTATGTCTCTATAGGTCTGTCATTGAAAGAGATATGTGTACTTATTGCCGGAAACCTTTGGGTATAGAAACTAAAATGATTTTAGATGAATTACAAATTTGCTGCCATTCCACTTGCTTCAAGGTAAGGATATGTTTATTGCAGTTAACTAAATATAAAATTGCATAATGACTGGAATAAAAATAATTATTTAATGAAATACAGGAGGTGAATTTAAAGCTTTCAGAAACACTCTCATCCATATTAATAATGTATTACTTAAAAATTTCTCAGAGTTCTGCAGCCTAAACCTCAAAGGTTTATAATTACTATCTTGGCTTTAGGCTTAGAGTTGATTACTGACACATTTATTACTCTTACCCTAGAGATTTAAATCTGTAAGAATATAAACACTTGTTCTCTTTATAAGTTTTTGCAACATTTTAATAAATCATGCATTGCATAAAAACAATGAAATCCAAAAAGAGAAATTGTTAAGAAAGCTAGCAGCTTTTTACATGAGGCATGAAATTTGGACTGATAGGCTTAATGATACTTGAAACTACTGAAACTTTTGAGAATATGATTAGTTATAAATAATTGTAGCTGAGTATAATAAAAATAAGCTTACATAGTGGAACTCTTCAATTTCTGGTCCTACATCATTTCTTTTACTTCTTGCCCTAATATTGAGTAGGTCAACATGACAGTTGTTGGGGTAACTGGATGAGCACTGAATAGGGAATCTGAGGGCCTGAGTACAAATTCTAACTTCCACTAACTTTGGCTGTCATTTTGGAAAATCAACTAATTAGCTTGGCTTCCATTTCCTTATTTGTGAAATGAGGTAGCTGACTAGACAAGTAGTTCTCAACTCTGGCTGTACCTTATAATCATCTAGGGGCAATTAGGAGAAAAATAGAATGCTTAGGACTGGCCCAACTAAATAAAAAATCTTGAAAGTGACTCCTGGGCATTGGCATTTTTTTTAATTTTAATTTTAATTTTTTTGGCATTGGCATTTTTAAAAGCTCCTTAGATAGATCTAAGGGCAGCCAATTGAAGAATCACTTGCATAAATCCAAGGGTCCTTTCTGCGCTGACATTCTGCAGTTGATAAACATTATCTAATGTGATCAAGTACCTGTAATACTTGGACAAGTGATTGCTTCTCCTTCAGGTAGCTTTAGAAAGTGACACATAGCAATCAGATGCCTCATTTTGAGAAAAAATATTCAATTTTAGGCTATAATATAGAGAATTCCATTTAAAATAAAATGTGAAAATTGCATAATTACTTAATTAAGAGAAAAAGAAATTTCCTTTTAGTTATGAAAATTTACTCAATAAATCAAAAGTTAGTCTACAGCTCTTTATTTAAAATTATTATCCAGGGTGCTGGGGTGGCTCAGTTGGTTAAGTGTCTGCCTTCAGCTCAGGTCATGATCCCAGGGTCCTGGGATCGAATTCCACATCAGGCTCCCTGCTCAGGGGGAGTCTGCTCCTGCCTCTCCCTCTGCCCTGCCCCTGGCTTGCTCTCTCTTCTCTTGCTCACTCTGTCTCTCAAATAAATAAATAAATTCTTTAAAAAAATAAAGTTATCATATAGAAAACTTCTTAAAATAAGAGAATTTTCCCAATTATTTCATTTGTTAAACAACAATTTCCATTTATTGTATTTTGGAAGATTTATTTCCACTTTCAATTTAATTATAAAATACTACCGAGAATAAAAATGTCCCCATACTCCTCAGAGAAGATGTATTACTCTTATAGCTTTCTTATGGAGAACCACCTGGACTGGTTTAAACATACCGAATTGATCAGTGACAATTTGCTTCCATGAACTCACCTCTGAAAGCCATCTCAATGACAATCTCATGCTTGAAATTCAGCTGTTTGGCAGTGAACTTATTTCCAAAGAACACAGGTCAACCCTTTTCTGCCTCCATAACCAACACAATACAAAACTTCTGTAAAAACAGAAGTCTGGTTTTGTCTAGTGAGACTGTTATTGGGCAGCATAACTCTCCCTTAGTAAGCAAATGAATATACTCTGTGCTTTTGTTTGAGATATTGAGTGGTGATCTTATCCTTGGCATAACCAATTTTTGAAAATTTATATTTACTCTATTGTTAACTAAGTAGAAGCTTCAGTGCTATATATGCCCTGAAATACACATTTTTCAGAGTAGAGAGATGTGATAATTTATTTGAAAAGTTCAATATTAGGATCCTGGACAGGTACATTCTCATTTTCCCTGAGGGTTCTCTTTTATCTGAGTGTTGTTATGGAGGATGGTACTGGGTAAATTGAAAGGGCTTTTCTATCCTGATATACTGAGAATAAAGACTTCATATATAATGTGTGTAAACTTCATGTATTGTTTTTTTCTTTAGTGTGAAATATGCAAACGGCCTTTGGAAAACCTGCAAGCAGGTGACAGTATTTGGATTTACAGACAGACAATACACTGTGAACCTTGCTACTCTAAAGTTATGGGTAAGTGTTACACGCTTTAAATAATCATCACTTTTACTAATAATATTAATGAGCACTTAATATTGTTGAAATGAGGGATTTCAATAAAGTAAAAATATTTTATTAATTATATTTAGTTAAGATTTCAGCTGAAGGTAGTTTATACTATGATAGGATTTTATGGCATAAAAACAGTCACCATATATTATTATCTCCTGGTATCAGACTAGGCATAATACAACTAAGTATTTATTTTGGAACATTTTTTATTTTTTCCAAACAAAAATAAAGATCTTCTTTGCTCAAATAATTGTTTGAAGTCCATTTCTGTGAATGACCTTTTGTATTTGTATTGAAATATACTTTTGTACCTAATTTGGTTATTACACTAAATACTTTTTAATGTTATTTTTAAATGAAAAGCTTAGAGCTAGTTCTATATAATTCTATATTAAATATAGCATCTAAGTATTTTTATGAATTTAATATGGGCTCTTGAGTGGTATAAATTATATAAGAAGAAAACACTAAGGACTGGTATTTTTAACTCCTTTTCTTTAAACTGTGAATACTTTAAAAGTTGATCTAAAAGTTATGCACAATGTATACTAAGTTAGCAACAGAAAATCTTATCAAACTTGATTAGTTTTTAATAGCCAGTATCAGCATTTTATTTTTAATTCAATGGTAAGTAGACGGAATAACCGAGCTACTATTGATAGGTGGTCAACAGCATTATGTGAGGACAAGTTTCCTGACACCTTATTGGCATGGTGAATAAAAGAGGAGCATGTGTGATTCTTACATGGGATCCAAAATGTGGAATTTAATGACCAATATGTGATATTAATGGTGTACTGGGAGGCCACATCTGGAAAATGATCTGAGAAATACTCAGAAACACACGTTCCATCAGGCTGCAGTATCAATTACAAGGAACAAACCCAATTGTATTTACTTTTCGTTTTCTGCTAGCTTCAGCCAGTTCCCATATTTCATTTTCTTTCTAACTTAGCAGGCTTATCATGATCCAGTATTATATCGAAGGCCTGGATATGCATAGTGGCAACTTTAAAACTTTCAGTCTTCTAGAAATCCATGGAATGGCCTAGGAGATATGATTACCAAAAGACTCAGAAGTTTTTATGTCTTCCTCCCTGTCTATGTGCACTCCCTAGGCATTGCATTTTTTATAATACATATCATTGTGAAGACATGACTCTCAGGCATCTCATAAATAAAAGTACTTGGTACTTTGTATTTATGGTATATGACCAAAAGCCATAGTAATGAATGCAGTAAAAAGGAAAAATAAAATGCTTAACCCATAATTACCCCATTGATAAGTAGTTATTTAAAAATGTTTAATTACAGGCTTATGTTTGTATTGAAGTTGTATTTCTAACTGTTATTTTCTTTAAAATTTTCAGCAAAGTGGATTCAATAATTCTGGCACATGGAAATCAAGATAAAAGCATTCATTAGGAAATTAAAATTTTATTTTAAGAATATGTAATCTAGAAAAGCTTTTACACTGAAGATTGAGTCTTATATAGAATTAACAATTCTATTGCATAAGTAATCTAATTGCCTTAAATAAGGTCATATACATAAAGGAAACCATCTGGTATCTGGCTAGATTTAGCTATGAAAAATTCAAGTGGTTCCAGTCACCAATGTCAAAGGAATTATGCTTCTGATGGCAGTGAGCTATGTCAACCTTATCTAGTTCCATCTCTGTTCTTTATTGGGCTGTGCATTGTAGTTGCCATTATAGACAAGTTTCCTTTTTTCTCATCTTTGTTTCTGTAAGGATTTGGATTTACAGACATTATTGACACCCTGACAAACTGTCAAAAAAAAGCAAGATATGTTTCTTTTGTGTATAAAAGAAATGTTGATGTTATCTTTCAATTTACCACAGTTGTAATTTTTATAGAATGTTTTAAAAACAAAAACATGGATTTATGGGTAATGGGTAAAATCACATGACTTGTGTAGTTTACGTATTAAAATTGCTAAATTTTCTTTGCATGCATTTCAAAATCCAAGTATATGCATAATCTCTGAGAAATAATGGTTGTGGATTATAAAGACATATGCTTTTTGCTTGTTGCATCTACTCATATTACGTAGCACTTTATGGTCACAGACAGCTTATAAATAAAAATGAAATGAACTACCAGTTACATAGAATCTTTTTGTGGAATTTCTATAAATATCATTCACTGACATTGAGCTTTTATTTTATTTTTATTATTATTGTTATTATTATTATTATTTTTTGAGAGAGAGAGAAACATGTGTGTGTGCTAGTGGAGGGGGGAGGGGGAAGGGAGAGAGAGAATCACAAGCAGTCTTCACAGACTGCACAGATCCCAACACAGGGTTTGATCTCAAGACCCTGAGATCATGACCTGAGCTGAAATCAAGAGTGGGTTGCTTAACTGACTTAGCCACCCAAACACCCTATAGCTTTTATTTTTAAGGAGCTTTTTCTTGAGGAATTTAAAATTCAATAATCTTAAGTCAGGTACTAGTATTTTTGTGAGAAATTGAACTTATAAACTATTTTATATGCATATAGCAACTGCTTTCTCAAAGGAAGGCATCCAGAACATTGAAGAGAGGGTGGAATTTTAAGGAAGCTTAAGGTAGTTGTAAAAAACTGACATCGACTAGGGAGATTAAATGATCATCATGTATTTTCCAAATGTTGATAAATTTAAAGAATTATTCTTCTGTGTAATGGTTCAAGCATCTGTTCCTCTTAGAGACTGGTCCACAAAGCGTTAAACACAAAACACTTATCAAAATACAGCAATGTATAATTGTGGTCCTATGGAGAGGAAGCCAGAAAAAACAATTAATAATAATTTGATATTCATTAATTCGTGCTTGATGAGAAGCAGTGGTAATTGAGCCATATGTTTTATTGTTCTTTTATTACATGCTATCAGAATGGATCAAAAGAAATAATTTTCTTAGGGTTGGAATTTGTGGCAGAAAAGAACGGATGGAATCGTATTCCTCTCTTTTATATAAAGTGTATTAACATCTCAATGCCTTTGTAGTAATTAAAAATCATTTGAATATCATTTTAGAAGTATTCTACTTTTTAATGCTCCATTTAAAAAAAACTTAAAAGGAACATATTTCTCACTTTTTTTTGTAGCTGTTTAATGGCCCCTTTTTTCTATAATAATGTATTAAATTAAACCTAAAAGCTGTTATAAAAATGGAATAAATACAGAGTAGAGAGAGCAGGCCTTCCAATTCACTAAGACCACTTCATTATGTCTGGGTTTATTTGCACCATCAGAATACAGATTTCTAAGACAATTTGGAAGATCACTTTTTTTTTTTTGCTGCCAGTTAATTATGTTATTACTGGCATACCTTTCCTGGACACAATTGCCTAAATCTCAGAATACCAGGTCCTGAATTCTATTGCTAATTAAGAGATACCTCTCAAAAGAATTAATTGCTGCAACATGACAATATCCTTCGAAGAAAGCAAAAAGGAAGAAATATAATAATCTCAGTGATAGGATTTGTTAAGATAGTATTCTTTCTTTTAATAAGGCTAGGAAATAAGACTAAGCTTATTCAAGAAGTAATTTGTACACCCTATTTGTTTGATGGCAATCACTCCTGCACTTAGATGTGAGTGAAAGATCTGACCCAGCTCACACTGTCACTGTGGTATCTGGCTTGTTTACTACCATAGACAATCATGAGTGTTTGGAACATTTTCCTACTCAGCTTGATTCAGAACTCTACCAAAACAAGTGACTGTTTGGTCTACATTATGGCAAACTAACAATAATGATGTTGATTTTTATTTGTGTGTGTGTGTACTGCTGAATTTACTGGTTATTTTGTAACAATGTAAATAAGTTGCTTTTAGAGTTCCACCTATTCTTAAGTACTCAGCCTTTCCCAGGGGCACCCATAAATATCTGTTAATTTGGGTATGCTGTTTCTATTTACTATTTAAAATGTGAGATTTAGGGGTGCCTGGCTGGTTCAGGCAGTGAATTTGAGATTCTTGATCTTGAGGTTATGAGTTCAAACCCCATATTGGTGAGAGTTTACTTAATAAAAATTTTTTTTAATAAAAATAAAATCTGAGACTTAGCACACTTAGAACATGTACCTACCAGCTCAAACACTGTATGGATCTATGAATCTATTCCTGCTGCTTACCCCATTCTTTTTTTTTTAATTTTAATTTAATTTAATTTAATTTTTATTTTTTTGACATTTTTTTTTAATTGGAGTTCAATTTGCCAACATATAGCATAACACCCAGTGCTCATCCCATCAAGTGCCCCCCTCAATGCCCATCACCCAGTCACCCCCACCCCCGCCCACCTCCCTTTCCACCACCCCTTGTTTGTTTCCCAGAGTTAGGAGTCTCTCATGTTCTGTCTCCCTTTCTGATATTTCCCACTCATTTTTTCTCCTTTCTCCTTTATTCCCTTCCACTATTTTTTACATTCCCCAAATGAATGAGACCATATAATGTTTGTCCTTCTCCGATTGACTTATTTCGCTCAGCATAATACCCTCCAGTTCCATCCATGTCGAAGCAAATGGTGGGTATTTGTAGTTTCTAATGGCTGAGGAATATTCCATTGTATACAGAGACCACAGCCTCTCTCTATCCATTCATCTTTCGATGGACACCGAGGCTTCTTCCACAGTTTGGCTATTGTGGACATTGCTGCTATAAGCATTGGGGTGCAGGTGTCCCAGGGTTTCACTGCATCTGTATCTTGGTGCTTACCCCATTCTGAGCTGATCTCTTTTTTTAGATGACTAGGGGCTGTTGAATGTTTTATATGTTTTTCTTTTTACCTTTTGACCCTGTACACCCATTTTTCCTACCCCACCCCAACTCTTGCCTATGATAACCCATCTGTTTTCTGTATCTCTGTTGTTTTTGTTGTTGTTTTTGTTTTTCTAAGATTCTATATATAAGAGAGATCATACTGTGTTTGTTATTCTCTCTCCTTACTTCATTTAGCATGGACCTTGAGGTCCATCTATGTTGTTCCAAATTGCATTTTCTTTTTCTTTCTTTCTTTCTTTCTTTCTTTCTTTCTTTCTTTCTTTCTTTCTTTCTTTCTTTCTTTCTTTCTTTCTTTCTTTCTTTCTTTCTTTCTATACCAAGAAGTGGAATTGCTGGATAATAGGGTTATTTATTTATTTATTTATTTATTTATTATTTTATAGAGTGTGAGTAGGGAGGGGTAAAGGGAGAGGGAGAGAGAGAGAATCTCAAACAGACTCCCCACTGAGCACTGTGCCCACTGCAGTGCTCAATCTTACCACCCTGAGGTCGTGACCTAAACTGAAACTAAGAGTTGGATGCTTAATCAACTGAGCCACCCAGGCGTCCCTATAGGGTAGTTCTATTTTTAGTTTCTTTAGAAACTTTATTTATTTATTTGAAAGAGAGACAGAGAGAGAGAGGGAGGGAGAGACAGAGTGAGGTGGGGGGAGAGATAGAGGGAGAGGGAGAAAGAAACTCAAGGGCAGAGCCTGCCACAGGGCTTGATCTCACAACCCTGAGATCACAACTTGATCTGGAACTAAGAGTTGGATGCCTAACCAACTGTACCATCCAGGTGTGCCTGTTTTTAATTTTTTGAGGAAAAAATTTGACCAAATCAATTGACATTTACCACAGTGGCTGCACCAGTTTATATTCCCACCAATAGGGGTTTCCTTTTCTCCATAGCCTCACCAATACTTGTTATTTCTTTTCTTACTGATCATAGTCATTCTAACAGGTGTGACATCTCATTGTGGTTATCTGGTATATAGGAATGCAAAAGAGTTTTGTGTATTGATTCTCTATCTTGCAACTTTATTGAAGGCATTTACTAGTTCTAACAGGTTTGGGTTTTTTTTTTGTTGTTGTTGTTGTTCTTTTTTAGTTCTATCAGTTTCTTGATGGAGTATCTAGGGTTTTTTATATATAATATGTCATCTGCAAATGGTGACACTTCTTTCCAATTTGGATTCCTGTTATTTCTTTTTCTAGCCTAATTGCTCTGGCTGGGACTTCCAATGCTATGTTGAATAAAACTGATGAGCATTGGTATGCTTATCTTGTTCCTGATCTTAGAGGAAAAGCTTTCAGTTTTTACTGTTGAGTATGATTTAGCTGTGCACTGTCATATATAGCCTTTATTACATTCCCTCTTTGGCCACTTTGCTGAGAGAGTTTTTATCATAAAGGATGTTGCCTGTGTTGAATGCCTTCCCATATTTATTGAAATGGTCATATGATTTTTATTTTTCATTTTGTTAAGGTGGTATATCACATTGACTGATTTGTGGATGTTGACTATCCTTGTGTCCCTGGAATAAATCCCACTTGATCATGGTATAATCATGTATGATCCTTTTAATCTATTGTTGAATTCAGTTTGCTGATATTTTGGTGAGGACTTTTTGCATCTATATCCAGCAGGGATATTGGCATATAATTTGTGGCATCCTTATCTAGTTTGCTATGAGGGCAATATTGGCCTCATAAATGAGTTTGGAAGAGTTCTCTCCTATTTTTTAGAAGAGTTTGAGGAGAATTGGTATTATTCTACTTTAAATATTTGGTGTAATTCACCAATCATCTGGTCCTGGACTTTTGGTTGTTAGGTTTTTGATTACTGATTCAATCTTCTTACTAGTACCTGGTCTGTTCAGATTTTTTTATGTCATCATTATTCAGTCTTGTTAAGTTGTAGGTTTCCAAGAATTTATCCATTTCTTCCAGGTCGTGCAATTTGTTGGTATATTATTAATCATACTAGTCTCTTATGATTCTTTGTATTCCTGTGCTATCAGTGTAACATCTCTTCTTTCATTTCTGATTTAATTTCTTTGAGTCCTCTTTCTTGGTGAATCTAGCTAAAAGCTTGTCAATTTTGTTTATCTTTTCAAAGAATCAGCTCTTAATTTTATTGATTTTTTCCTATTGTCTTTTCAGTCCCATTTCATTTATATCTGCTCTAATCTTTGTTATTTTCTTTCTTCTACTAATTTTGGACTTTGTTCTTATTTTTTCTGATTCCTTGAGCTATAATGTTAGGTAGTTTAGTTAAGACTTTTCTTGTTTCTTGAGGTAAGCATTTGTCACTATGCACCTCCCTTTTAGAACTTTTTTGCTGCACCCCACAAAT